TTCGGCCCTCCAATAGCCACGCCAATGTCTATACCCAGGGAAATCGAAAAAAAAAAATTCCAACCCGAAAGATTGTCTCTGGCTTGGTAATACCAACAATCAATACGAAACTAACGATTTTAAATTGGCTCACTACTTGACTAGCCTATTGGTCCCAAGCAAATCGACTAACGTATCCCATTCTAGTATAAATTCCAGTACTACACTATAGTTGTTTTGATTCGTTATGAAAGTTTGACAGATAAAATGAGGGGTTAGTGGATTTTCCTATGTTTCGAGGGGTGAATCGATTAGCTTGGGACCGAAGATAGTACCAGAGCTGAGCCAAAAATTTGAGCTCGTTTCTTCGGGAGCTTCTGGTCTTAGAGTTACCTCTATGGTAATACCATAGAGGTAACTCTAAGACCACTGGGTCCCGAAGAAAATCATTATTATTTTTGGCTCACTCAGTACCAGAACAACGGTCCCAAGCAGTCCCAAGCTATTTCACTCACCCCTGCATGTTCTGCATGAATCCACACACCCCTGATGTTATCTGTCAAACTTTCATAGCGAATCAAAACAAACATAGTGTAGTAATAGAATTTCAACTAGAATAGGGTACGTTAATCGTTTGCTTGGGACCAATAGGCTACTAAAGTGGTGAGCCAATTTAAAATCGTTAGTTTCGTATTGATTGTTGGTAATACCGTTTACCGATTACTGACTAGGCTATCTGAGGCCCGTGAATTGTTTCATAAAAAATTTAAAATTTGAAAGGTTAAAATCTGGGTCATTTGTTTATTTGTCATAGAGTAAACAGATAGGAATTTAGAGACCCCCTCATCCTCATTCGCATTCATGCATATTGGCCCGTCACCGGGCCACGAAGGAAGCCGTATTGAAGGATTTATTTAATTTATTCTCTGGTCGACTATTATTTGAATTTACGGTACATGGCCTAACTGAACACAGTACCTAAAGATCATGTAATTACGGGCGATGGAAGCCACGATACATGATACAGAAGCACTAACATTACATAAGAGAATGTATTTAAAATTATGTCCAAAATAATACCATTAGCATAAGGTTATCAACATCAACAATAGTTAGCGAAACATCCGTTGTAATAGACCAAAGCAGAGACACCGCCGTTGGCAGAAAATTTCATTATATATTTAAATTCAATAATCTGGCAACTGCTCTCTTCTATTCCCGTTACGATGGGATGCCAAGTACAGCTTTAGGAGCCCAACGAGCAAATGAATAACCCAATACCACCCGGGCGCCATCCGGACCGGGAAAATCTGGGGCGGGGTGCCTAGCAAAAAGCTACACTAACGGCAAACCAAAACAAACGCACCAGAGCGCACTTTTGCTAGTCTTTCCAGGAGCTGGCGCTGTCTAATATTCGTCGTATCTGTTGGCATCCAGGGATGAGGAATAGCAGAAAAGAGGTTGATAGCATGATATAACCTCCAAATGACCTTCAAGTGTGTGCGTGTTGCTGCCGCTTGTAACAAAGTATGGTTCCCTTTTTTGCTTCCTTTATTTACCAACATCACCCAGAGGAACTGCCGGCCGTGTTGTCTTTCTCGAGCAAAGTTTCGTAGTCAGTTCTAATAATTTGGGTCACACTTTCTCTCCGCAACCGATAATGTCCGGGGCAGTTAACGATCTCCATTCCCCAGGGATAGCTTTCACTCAGAGAAGCCATGAATAATTCATTTAATAGCACGCCTCTCCTACTGATCTCCGGGAGCTGGGAAAAGAGTAGATGGCGTCTGGATAAATGAATGGATTGCCAAAACGTGCCAAGCGGTGACCGGAGACGTTTGTTATTTTTAACGGAATGCTTAACAGCTAATCGGCGATATATTGGCTTTCGGGTCAACGTAAGTGTTCTGAACAATTCGGTAGAAGTCACGCAAGCAGTTACAGGTTGCCGAGCGGTAGTTCTCATTTGGCACCAGCCAACATGCCAACGGTCAACTTGTTTCGTAGCAAATTGGATTTACAACAACCATTGCGCCATTGTTCATGGAAAACGTCCGTCCGAGGGATATGGATACCGAAAACCCGCCGACCATAAATTATCCGCAAAACCCTCATCGATGCCAGCCAGTATACGGTGTGCGGTCGGTGCGTCACCAGCGATTGTTTTCAACCTGGTGGTTGTTTCGCTTGGTTTGCAAAATAATAAATGCCGCCAACAACCCTCCGTCCTTGTTGCATACCTAGGTAACTCGATAGTCACAACATCTAAGGCTTAGCCAGCCGGAGGTGGGGGTGGAATATGACGGTTGCAAAAGCGATAGCCTTATTTCACGCACTGCTCGGCCCGCGAAAAACGAACGGGTTTTATCATGGGGGTTGTGTCTTGTGTCCTTTTCCTTTGGAGGTGGGAGAGACAGAAAGAACGCGAGAGAACGGTTGTGGGTGTTTGAAAGAAAAGAGAGTCGTACAAAGCCAACTGAGAGGATGGTGAGAGCATAAGGGAATCGAAAGGAGAATGACCTGTTTGGATAGGGAGAGCGTGTTGCATATGCCTCGACATGTAAACATGCGTCTTGTCGTGCAACATTTGGATGGGAAACCAAGCGTCTCCACGGAACTGTTAGCAATGCAAGTTTTGAAGTGGGTCACGTGGTTGATCATAGAGAATAAATTGATCTCAAGAAGATTGGAAGTATTGTTTTGATTTATTAATGTCAGCCTTTGATGACAAAATTGCTCAGAATCGTTCGATTGGATTGTCCTCTTTTTTGACGAAATCGATGTTCAGTGATTTGTACAGCTTCAAGGTTGTGGACGCGTAATGAGCGGACGCCAAGTCAGGCCAGAACAAGGGTGGAGTGTTGTGTTGACGATAGAGCGGAGCCAGGCGCTTCTTAATGCACAAGAACTTTTTCCCCGAAGTTATCAATTTAAACTATATGTTGTCAGGAACCTTCTTAACAATAACAGCATTATAAAACTACGCTCCTGGATGCACTCTTGTGTCCAATTTAACATACAGGGTTGTAGAGAAAGGATGGAACTGGGCTAGTAAAGTGAAATAACTTTGGTTCGCTTTAACAGCTCATTTAAATAGTTTTCATTTAGTGTGTGAACATGGGTATGAGGACAACCCTGTGACAGTGGGAAAATCAAAACAAAGCCTTTCGTTCAGAGACTTTCTCGGCTTTATTTCTCTCTCACTCTTCCTCGTTTTCGCGTTACCGAGAGACGGGCCTGGACAGCTTTCCGACGGTTCAGTCAAGCAGTTTTGAAAAAGATCTTAAAGTGTGAAGTTGAGTTATCACAAAATGCTGCGCAGGGATTACGGTCCTTTTCCAAATGGTGGAAATCACGAAAATGGCGCCGTCGAGGGGAACCGAAGCGCTCCCGGGTAAGTCTGTATAAATCGCAAATTTGTTATTTTTTTTTCGTTTGGCCATTTTTGCCTAGTGAAAATTGTTGAGATGGTAACGAAAGAAAACCATCGTCCGCCATGATAGAAGGGACGTACGAAAAATAAATTATGCGCTCGGCCACGGCGGTATGCTGGCGTCTAATGCAATGACCGGCGTACGAATGTATTGGTGCCAGTGAAAGGAATGACGGTGCATAGTTAGATTTAATATATCCTATGTTTATATTTGTTTTTGTTTTTTTCAAATTATGGTATGCAAGAAATTGTGGTGAATTTTGATGCGTCAATCAGTGGAAGTCGCATTGAACGCTTGATCTGATAGGGCCAAATGCCCTTCTTTTGGCAAGATGTGTCACTGAGTGGAATTCTCGGTAGACTTTAAGAAAAAAAAAATCCAGACTTGGAAACGGTTGGTGCGTCAATAAGTGGAAGTCTTATTGAACGCGTGATCCGAAAGGGTCCAATGCCATAGGTTTGGCAAAATGTGTCTCTGAGTGGAATTCTCAGTAGACTTTAAATAGGGGAATTTACGTATTCTCGTCAATCTAAGCAGCGTCTGCACTTCTACTAGCATTTTCTCAGCGTCACGCACATATATGATGTGTCTGTTTGTTTACATTCATCTGCTGCTTGCTTCTCTATCCATTCCAATCGACAGAATTTTTCAAAACGTTTTGAAAGCGTTTTTACAACGCTCCAAACTTCTCAGGTGAGTGTGACTATTGTCGGCAGTCTCTTTTTCTTCGGCAACCTTCCCATTAGAACTGCGTGTTAACCAGCTGTTCTATTATCGGCAACTCGAAATCAACCTCATTTTGTAGTGCGTATGCTTTATTTGAAGAAAAATGTAGCATTACTGGATTGCTCGATCGTTCAAATATAATCAGATTGAAGCTGAAAGGCTAAACAATCGTTTGGACACATTCAGGGAAGTGCGTTGATGGGAAAACATAGTGAAATTAACGTTTAAATTTTGGTTGCCGAAAACAGTCAATGGGTGCCGAAGCCAACATTTACCCTACGTCATGATACGTCTCTGAGTGGAATTCTCAGTAGATTAAAAAAAAAAAACAGCCTTGGAATAGGTTGGTGCGTCAATAAGTGGAAGTCTTGTTGAATGCATGATCTAATAGGGTAATAATAATGCCCTTATTTTGGTAAAATGTGTCTCTGAGTGGAATTCTCAGTAGACTTTAAGAAATAAAAGGCCAGCCTTGGAAAGGGTTGGTGCGTCAATAAGTGGAAGTCTTATTGAACGTGTCATGCGATAGGGTTCAATGCTCCCTTTTTGGCATGACACATCTCTGAGTGGAATTCTCGGAAGATATAAAAAAAAAAAGAATCCACCCTTGGAATAGGTTGGTGCGTTAATAAGTGGAAGTCTTATCAAACGCGTAATCCGATAGGGTCAACTGCCTTTTTATGGGCAAGATGTGTACCTGAGTGGAATTCTCGGTAGACTTTAAGAAGAAAAAATCTAGGCTTGGAATAGGTCTTGAATTTAAGTTCAATGCATTTCCCAAATCAGCTATTGTCAGTTGTCAATAATCGAGTTAAACATGATTTATGTTTATGTTGTTATTAATGGCTAGTTGATAAACATATGTATAAAGTAGACTCGCTAATGATGTTGCTGTGTTTTCACTATGGCATTCTTTTTGGATATCGTTTTAGTTCTCCATCAGAGGACACTAATGGCAAATGGCCATCTCTAGTGGAGTCACTTGAAATAGAGCGCAGACGAAACGCGACGCTGACAAAGAAACTAAGAAAGGAAAAAGCAAAAAACAAGAAATTAATTTCTACAAATGCTGCATTATCTCCAGGGCCGTCACGTTTTCAATCGACAATGAGGGAAAACCGCCAAGAAGGTATTCGATTAGGTGGAAATGATTCGCTTTCGGCCACTATGACCAACTTGTCATTCGCGTCACTGAACATAGCAAAGTGTAAACCAACTGACGGCGAAGACGAAATAGACAGGAGATCGTTTGGAAACTGGAGAGATTTGTTGGAAGCGTCGATGAAGTTAGTGGGGGCGATGGATGAAGAATCGAAGATGAGCATCTTCAGGATTAAAGCGGGGACGAACCTTCTTGACATTTTGGAAGCAACCGTGTCTTCACCCAACAACCCAAGTGCAGAGGTTGCCCCATATTCGAACGCTATCCAAAGATTGGTGGATCATTTCGGATCACGGGACTATTGTTTGCTTCAGCGCCAGAAACGCCGTTCTCTGACCCAAAGCGCTAACGAATCGCATTTCAAATACGTGCAACGCGTTATTAACTCTGCAAAACTGTGCAATTTCGCTGGAGATCAGTTTTGAAAAAGATCTTAAAGTGTGAAGTTGAGTGATCACAAAATGCTGCGCAGGGATTACGGTCCTTTTCCAAATGGTGGAAATCACGACACTTGTTAGGACCTCTCAAGTCCACACTTTAAGATTAGTGGTGGACTTGAGAGGTCCTAACAAGTGCATCATCAGAACCCCCTTTAAGATGCCGACACTAGAAGCAATATTAGCTAAGTTGCATGGATCAATGGTCTTCACAACGCTTGACTTAAAGAGTGCATTCTTCCATGTAGTCCTAGATGAACAATCTAGACACCTTACCAACTTTTACGCGGGTGATGCCACATACAGGTTTAAAAGACTCCCTTTCGGCCTATGCAACGCTCCGGATATTTTTCAGGAGATCTGCCAAACTGTGATTCTTTCCGGATGTCGAGGTGTCCGGAATTACTTGGATGATATCCTAGTCCACGGAAAGACGAAGGAAGAGCACGATGAAAATCTGCAAGCCGTGTTTTGTCGTCTAGAAGAGCATAACGTAATCCTAAACAAAGAGAAATGGGTGGTTGGTAAAGCATCAGTTAAGTTCCTAGGGTTCACTTTGTCTTGCGATGGCCTTAAAATTGAAGAAGAGAAGTTGAAGAGTATCAAGAGTTTTCGCAGACCGGAGTCGCAAACCGAAGTGAAGAGTTTTTTGGGACTTATTAACTTCGTGGAACGATTTATCCCAAGGCGAGCCGATAAAACTGAGCGACTTAGAGAGTTATCAAAATCTGATTCTTTCTATTGGACTGGCGAAGAGGAGGAGGAGTTCCATTTTCTCAAGGATGAAGCTCTGAGTGAAGTTTTGAAACTGCGTTTTTTCTCGAGTGACGATGAAACCGATCTTTTTGTAGATGCATCTCCCGTTGGACTTGGTGCCGTATTAGTCCAATACGATAGCTGCAATGAAACGCATTATTCATGAATACTTTTGGTGGCCTGGTATTAGCAGTGCAGTTGAACAGTTCGTTAAATCGTGCAAGACGTGTTTGATTATTACAAGACGAAACCCTCCGATTCCTCTTTCAAGTCGAACTCTTCCTGATGGACCGTGGGAAATCTTGCAGATAGATTTCCTTACAGTGCGCGGATGTGGCTCCGGTGAATTTATGATTGTGGTTGACACCTACTCGAGATTCTTGGCAGTCGTGGAAGTAAGATCCATAGACGCAAAGTGCACTAATGCAGCTCTGTCAAAGGTTTTTGAAACGTGGGGCCTGCCAATGATCATGCAAAGCGACAATGGGCCGCCATTTCGCAGCACAGAGTTTGTCGAGCATTGGGAACAGAAAGGAGTAAGAATTCGGAAATCCATCCCTCTTAGCGCTCAGTCGAATGGAGCCGTAGAGCGTCAGAATCAAGGAATTCTGAAAGCTTTAGCTGGTAGCAAGCAAGATGGAACCAACTGGAGGGCTGCTCTTCATAGGTATGTTCACGTCCACAACACAATTAAGCCCCATTCCAGACTCGGTATCGCACCCTTCGAGCTCCTCGTTGGGTGGAAGTACCGGGGAACATTTCCGGCCCTTTGGGAGTCAAAGTGTGACAATGAACTGGATCGTCACAACGTTAAGGAACATGACATTCTATCGAAATTTGTGAGCAAGGGCTACGCGGACAACCGTAGAGGAGCTAAGCTTTCCGACATCAAGGCCGGTGACAGGGTCGTAGTTGCGGTCGCAAAATCAAACAAAGTTGATCAGTCCGCATCGTGCTCTCTTGCCGTGCGGATCTATTTGCTTTTTGCTGAAGGAAGTGTTACTACTACCTAAAGCTACAACAAATTTTAACAGCACTTTTCAGTGCTCAACCTGTAAAAATTTTCTACCTTGTTCAACTCTTATTCCTCTTCGATCCTTGTTTGGACCCTACCCGAGGTAATCCTTCTTGGATATCGATTTGGAAAATTCCTCTTCGATCCTTCAGATTCTTATAGTAATCTGCTTGGAAGTCGATTTGGATAAAAATTTACTGCCGCCATGGCGCCTAAACGCAAAAGAAAGGGGCAAACTCTTGACCCCCCTTCTGATGAAATTAATTTGAGTAATCAATTTGATTTGCTCACGGATGATGAGAATGATCCATCATCCAAGAAAAATTCTAGTAAACTTTCCCGGCTTAATGCCAAGAAGGAAAAGATTCCCCCTATTGTGATAACCACTACCGATTTCCATGCTCTTCGCATGGAACTTTTGAATTTCGTGAAAGTTAAGTTTTCACTACAAATTGGACGTCGGGGTGAATGCCGTGTATTGGCTGAAACCTTGGATGGATTTAAATGTCTTCTCAAGTATCTTACTGAGAAGAAGCACAAATTTTGACGTAGAACTACGTCTTTGTCGACTATACTGGGGTGCAAATCAAAAAATATGTGTGGTGAAGGAGTGTTAGGTTTTGAACGCTTGTAACTTTGTCATTTATAGATGAAATTAAAATCCAAATACGCCAATCGATAGGATATTACATTACGAACCTGTTGAAATAAATATTTTTCCAATTTTTCTGTAATTAAACTTTTGAAAATGTACATTGATAATTTTATCACTGATTTCATGAAATAAGCCTTTTTCCCAAACCCAGTCATCATAAACGAATACCACTTGGTTGCACATCATTCTGCTTGAACCTGAAAAGATATAAATCAGCGGTGCCCTCATGCCCCTGCTCATTACCGCTTCGGATGGCGTGGCACTAGGTCCTGCATCAAGCAGGACTAGGTCAGCGTCTAAAGGTGGTTCACGGCGTGTCCACCACAATGAGGAATGAGACTTGGAAAAACGTGCATGTAAAGGAATGAGACTTGAAAAAAACGTGCATGTAAAACCCCGTCCCGCTTAACAATCCCCTCCCCCTCCCCTTAACAATAACCCGAGAAAGACATGGACTATGACGATCTTTTTTTCGGGAAATAAATTTTAAGCAAACCCTAATAATGTATGAACAATTTATTTTTTACATGCAGAGCCAACATTATCAAAAAAATGTTGCTTAATAGGAGACATACACTCGATGCATTACCAACAACTGACTGTAGAACATATCTGGTACCTCTATATATGCAATTATATTAACATCCAAAGTCCATCCTTTTTTACATATTCTGCACAAAAGAAACTTTTGGCTCCGCCCCATTCATAAAAAACGGCGGGAAATCCTATCAGGTTCTGAACCTGAAAAGATATAAAACAGCGCTGCTGTCATGCTTTGCTCATTGTCGCTTCGGACGGCGTGGCACTTGGTCCTGCAGTAAGCAGGACCAAATCAGCGGCTAAAGGTGGATCACGGTGTAATTTATGTAAACACCCTCCCCCTTTCACAACAACCTCTCCCCCTCCCCCCTTCACAACAATCTCCCCCCCCCCCCCCTCAACAACTTCTCCTAACAAAAAAAAAGCAAAAGCAATTGAATTGAAATGCATAAATTTTACCGAAAAGTTCAGCTGTTCAGATTTCGGTAAAAATTACCGAAGTCGGTGATAATTTCTAATGTCGTTTTCGTTTTTGCGGTGTAGCACTGGTGTAGTGTAAGCAGGAATAAGTATGAGTCTTTGACAGCTCAACATCATTTGTTTGTAAACAAAAGTGCATCCTATATCTACACCCTCAATTATTTCGGTGTACGGCAGTGTAGCACCGGTGTAGCTACACCGCAAAAACGAAAACGACATAAGTGTGTACCGTAAAACGGGGTAACATTGATAGTTGTTTAAAGTATATTCCAAATAATTTTTACACCAATGAATGTTTTTCAAATTTTATATGTTTAAAACAAGTACTTAGGATTCAAGAGTCAATTCCTTAGTAATATGTTTAACGGAATCTAAAGCATTCGCACTATTTTTTTTTTAGCTTTGTGACCGAACTTCAGTTTTTTGATTTGGGGTTACTTTGATAATGCTCGATGAATGTAGAAAAAAATGGCTGAAACTCAAACAATTTAGTTCTTTAAATATGAAACTTTGAATGAGTATATAATCAGAAAACATCATAAGCAATAAGAATACAACATTGAATTTGTGATGGCTATATATGAAATACATTTCATAAGTGATGGTTAGAGTGGTTTTTCAAACAGGCGAAAAACACGAAAATTGTTTTTTAATATGTTTGTAAAATATGTAAGACATACTATATAAAAACTATATATGATATCAACGGAAATACCCTAAGCTATAATATGGAACCAATGTTTCTAATTTGGAAAAAGCGTAGCGGGTAAATTTAATCTCTAAATTATATTATCTAAGCTACCCGTATTATCAAAGATACCCCGTTTTACGGTACATATAAAAACCATGCGTGACCACACATACTATTCATTTGCGTATAAATTTCATGTGTCTTCTGAGTGGATTCTGTTTATGTGTGGTCGAATGAAAATCATGTGGAATTTCACATGGATATTTGTCAAGAAAAATGTGTAAATTGTTTTGAGTTAACCATAACCGAAACATTGAAATACTTGAAAATTTTAAGATAAAGTATAATAGTCAAAAATGCATGAAAATATCAATTTTGTGTGGTTCTACGTCATACTGCGGTCGTGTCTAGGACACAACCCTTTAATTTTTTTTTTACTTACGACACCAAAACTGAACGTGTGTTCAAGGTTGTCATGAAAGGACTGCCCAGTGGTGAATCCCTGGATCAGATCAAAGATGAACTGGCAAAATTACTTGGAGTTGTGCCACTCCAAGTAATCAAAATGAAAATGAAATCCCGTCCTGGCGATTCGCGCAACGGGATTTCTAATGATTTTTATTTAGTTCACTTCAAGTCTAGTGAACTAAACAACCTTAAGGCCTTAGAAAAAGCTAGCCTTATGCTCCATGTCCGAGTGAAGTGGGAACACTTCAGGAAGACTGGAGGAAATTTCCAAAACCTCACCCAGTGCCGTAAGTGCCAGGGATGGGGTCACGGAACTAAAAATTGCTACATGCCAGCTAAATGCATGAATTGTGGTGATTCCTCTCACGCAAAGGACGACTGTC